TCCCCTTCCCCTCCCCACAACAGACACCGTGTGAGTCTGAGAGAGCTCTGACAGAAACTGCTCTTTTTCAAGAACAGCTCTTATCAGAACTGTGGCTTGCCCAAGGTCATCCAGCAGGTGCAAGTGGAGGAGTGGGGAATCAAACCCGGTTCTCCTAGATTAGAGTCCGCGCACTTACTGCACCAAATGAGTTCGACACCCCCTGGTCTGTGGTAGTCTACCCTGCTGAGGTCCCGCCCCTCCCCAAACCCCGCCTTCCTCAGGCTCCACCCCCAAACATCCAGGGATTTCCCAACTCCGAGCTGGGAACGTGGTGAGGGAGAGCCTCGCCCGGGCACCGCTGAGTCAGGCAGCCAGACTGGGGCGGTGGAGGAAGGAGGGAGGGAGGGTGAAGCCACGCCTGGGAAGGTTGCAGCAGTGGCCACAGGGCCAGTTAGGGTCGCCAGCTCCAGGTTGGGAAATACCTGGAGATTTTGGGGGTGGCGGTGGAGGTAGGACCCCCCAAAAAATGGAGCGGGACCAACCCCGTACAGGAGAAGCAACCAAAAAGGGTTGAGGCAAAAACAGTAATCAAATATGGCTGGACACGTAGTGCCAATGTAAAAATATACAATATATTTTAATTGTGCATGGAAATATTAAAATCGCAATACAAACCACCTGTCTGTGGTTCCATATATAAGTACCTACGCCCAGGCCTTCTTTTTTTAATGGAGGAACGCGCCAGAACAGAGTTCCGGAACCTCTTCGACAAAATTCTTCTTAAAATGTTTAAGACTCCTCGAGTTTTCAGTAGACCGATTGAAAAACTTCATTTCCCTCTCAAGAGATCCGGCACCTTTTTAAAAAATGAAGAAGAAGAAAGAATCCTCGCCTATACCTAATGCCAAGACAAATGTCAGACTATATAAATACAGGTTAAAAGATACAAAATGTATCCAAATACAAGAACCGAACACGTTTTGGCTAAAAAGCCCTCCTCGGTGGTAAAATACAAGCTGAGCACTCCATAAGTTAAACCCCAATGTATTTCAAACTTATGTATAGAATGGACCTGAAAACCAACAATTATCAAATACACTGTGGACCTTTGCTCTCACAGAGTTGTTAACCTGTGGAGTAAGTGGGAGTAAATATTCTTAAAATGCAACCTATGCTCCCTCTAAGCTGTGGAATCCTGTGAGCAAAAATTCTACTTCGTGAGTTGTGAGTGAGCGATTTGGCTACTGCATAAATTAGTTTGCTCTGGAGCCATCCTTCCTGAGCTGAGACAAAAACATGTGAACCGGAGGCTAAAAAACTGTGAACTAGCTCACACTAACTCAGCTTAGAGGGAAAACTGGATGCAACATGGGCCACTCATCCAAGTGTGTTTTGTTTCATAGGCCGGTGGATCTGTATCGGCCCAATCTCCAGTATTCAAAATCCAGATAGAGTGCTTAGCTGCAATGTAAAGAGACCCATTTTGGTGCAGAGGTTAGGAGTGCTGACTCTAATCTGGGAGAACCGGGTTTGATTCTCCACTCCTCCACATGCAGCTGCTGGTGTGACCTTGGGTCAGTCACAAGTTCTCTCAGAGCTGTTCTCTCAGGAGCAGTTCTGGAAAGAGCTCTCTCAGCCCCACCTACCTCACAGGGTGTCTGTTGTGGGAAGGGGAAGGAGATTTGTGAGCCGCTCTGAGACTCGTTCAGGTAGTGAATGACAAGGTATAAATCCAATCTCCTCCTCCTCCTTCTTCTAAAAAGAATCAGCTGAACACTCTATCTAGATTTTGAATATAGCAGATTGGGCACAAAACTGTTAGGCCCCCCGGAAATCAGCCGTCTTCAGAACGTCAC